AGTGATGAAAATGTGTAACTGGAGAATAGTTTACAGGACTGACATACACTAGCCAGTGGGTGTAAACATCCATAATTTTTACATATGAAGAAAACAACGGATGGGGCCTGTTATCACCAACAAGGTGCTACTGGGATTCATCTGAATTGCATTCTCAAGAATTAACTGGTTTAAAATATTTCACCTTACAAAAAAATATTAAATTCCAATTCCATAATTCCTAGAACTTTACCCAGCACCATATGGCTCAGTTGGTTGGAGCATTGTCCTGCACACCAACAAACTTGCAGGTCAGGGTGTGAACAGGAGGTAAATGAGATATTTTTTTCTCACTTCGTATCTCTCTCTCTCTTCCTTCCTCTCTGCAAAATCAATAAACATATCTTTGGCTAAGAATTAAAAAAATCCTCTCTTCTTAAACTAGGCTTTAAGTAATAAATTTATAAGTAATAAATTATGTTTATAATCTATATATACAAAAGCCTAAGCAACTATTACGACTGAATGACCAGTTGATGGTTGCTATGACACACACTGGCCACCAGGGGGCAGATGCTCAAAGCAGGAGCTGCCTCCTGATGGTCAGTGTGCTCCCACAGCCAACCTCCTGTGGCTGGCCAACCTCTCCTGGTCCCTCCCCCAGCCAGCCAACCTCCCACAGTCCCTCCTTCAGTCTCTCCCCGCTGCTGACAGGCCCCAATCGGCCCAGCCCCTCTCAGGACTGGGCGAGATGGCCTTGATAGGCCCCGATTGCCGGCCAGGCCTAGGGACACCACCCATCCATGAATTCGTGCACCAGGCCTCTAGTTTTAGGTAATAAAACTGCATTTCTTTTTAAAGGCTGTGATGTTGATTGAACATTTGAAAGTTGTCTTTCTGGATTGGTTTCTCAAGTGAACTGACATACATGACAGAAATTATGATTACCACTATATTTATACAGCCTCTGCCTCAGTTACCTTTCTTGGGATGCAGAGAAGGGAAGATACTTAAATAAGTACAACAGCCCTTGCAATAGAACTCCTGGGATGCTTACAATTTCATTATAACAGAGTAATCAGATATTTACTCCTTATCCTCATGATGTGAGAGATTAAAAATATGTAATTGTAAAATCCTATGGTCACAAAGCAAACATTTATAAAACGAGAGAAATTAAACTTTTATCTGTTAGTTTATTAGCCAAATATGCTTTGCCTTGTAAGTTTTGTCCTGATTTTGAAAAACACCTCCTGCTGTATGTTTTGCAGAAAGAATTGTGTACTATACAGTATCTCTTTACTGGACTTGGGAAAAGATGTCCATAAAAACTGTAATACCACCATGTCTTCCATGGCCCACTGTGTGTCAGAAGCCAGTCTACTCTCATTTCACAGGGAGGGAAGAAATCGGGTGATATGCCCAGGGGTAAACTAGTCACTGAGGACTTCGATTTAGTTAGTTACCATCCTTCACTTTCTTTCCCTTCCCCTTTTATGTTTTAAATTAAAAAAAAAAAAGTCTGGACTTTTAAACATAGCTCAGCTCTCCATCTTATATCAAGCCAAGTAAAATGAAATCTCAACCTGTCAAATGTTCAGAAATTACTGTAAAGATATCAGATGCGCCGTCTGAGACTAGAAAAATGCAAAGTATGAATTCATTTCTAGGCCCCATCCCACGCTTGTCAGTTACTCATCGAGGGAAGAACATATATCCTCCCTGGCCCTCAAGATGATACCCGCTCACATTTGGTAAGCCCTGCCCTCTGTTTACACACTTTACCACATTATTTCATAGGACGCCCCCAGCAGGCTGAGAGGGCTGCTTCTGTTATTATCCTTCATTCACAGAGAAGGAAACCGGAGGGGAGAGAATTCAAGAACTGGACCCAGCACCCCGTGGCTGAGAACCGGCAAGCCCCAGATCTGGGCCCAGGTGGGCTGAGTGCACAACCTGTGTTCCTTATCCCCGGGTAATGAAAACAGCTGAACACTGCACATACGTGTACCAGAGCTTGGGATGGCGGCTCACGGAATGATTTTTTCCATTAGTTGGAGTGTCTTTTGTTGCTGATTTACTCAACAGGAATTCTTGAAGCTTCTGCTTTACTTCTGTACTTGCCACTGCCCCTGAAACACAGGCGGACAGAAACAGATGCTGGCTTAGAGCTGTATCCTTTCATGCTTCTAACGTATTTAGCAAAAATTAAGAAGTAACCCCACTGGTCACAGCATATGAAGTTTCCCTATGACAAGAAGAAACCAGAGTCTAAACGGGCGGAGAAAATGGCATAGGAAGCTTCTGTAACTGCTGATTAAACTGCCAATTTTCAAAAGAGCTTCCATGATTTCCTTAATTGCTTTTGCAGAGAGGGGAGTCCCAGAATTAATACTAACTTTTTTCTAAGCTTTAACAAAATCCTGCTGGGAAACAAAACACTGCCCTTTAAAAATCAAGAATCTCGGGGAACCCTATAAGTGACTAAACACATCAAATGATTGTTTTGAATCACTATTTTGAAAAACCAACTTTTTAAAAAAGCCTCTTTTGAGCATTAAACAAATCAATCCTGCTGACAATTCCGGTTCAACCCATCCAGTTTTCAACCTTGCGACACCCTGATTTTGAACTGACCTCATTGCAAGGGAATTATTTGGATCTGTCTCCCTCTTGTGGATAGCTTTTTATTTTTACAAATGTTCTGCCTTAAATCTTCCCAAGGCCTCAGTACTCAAAAACTAAATAGAGGCCAGACTGGACTCACAGAGCCATTATTACATGAGCCAGAGAAAGGTTATGATTAAACAGTATGGCAGAGCTGGATTGCTTTACTGTAACATTATTTTTGAAATGCAAAAATGTAGACATTAGTATCTTGGCTGAACAATGCCGTGTTTACTCCCTGAGATGCTTTGCAGGCTGAATGCGGAGAGCTGATAGGCGAGGTCAAAGCTTTACATTTGAGTCTCTCATTTATTCTTATAGTTTTTAATGCAGGCAATCTTGACAAATTCAATTCCACTCTTTCTCAGGCTTCTTTCTGCAGGACGACGGGCTAAAGGGGAGGGAAGAGGGTCATCTTTTACCCTGGTGCCTCTTACTTTCTCGTCCTCTCTCTTTGCCTCTGAGAGGAGGAAGCTGCTGTTCTCTGCGATGCCTCTCTACTTCCTGTTCTTGCCTCTGCTGCTCCAGTTTCTGCTCCTTTTCTAGGAGTTCTTGTTGCTGTTTTATGGCTAGAAGTTCCTGTTGCAACTTACGAGAAGAGAAAGACATGAGAGTGTGCACTTTCTTTAAGCTTCATTGTCATCACTGAGCAAAATCGAAATGCTGTGAGCTTTTAGAACTTGCTTGGATTTAGTTGACATGTTTACCCATTTTTTTTTTTTATAAATTATTACAGTCTAAAGGCAAGCACAGAATGCCCAGATGGTCTTAACATCATCAATAAGGTCGTTTTTAGGGAGCTTCATGACCTGTCAAAAATCATTACCAAATTCACTCAGTTCTTTAGTTCCCTGAGTAGCTTTACTTTGTCATCTGAAATATATAAACCAGGCAAAGGCAGGAACTGTCCAGAGTCCACTTTCCCACTTCTTCCCCCATTACAAATAAACAACTGAAATCTTCAATTCCTATCCTAAGAAATAGAATGAGTATTCACTGAATAGAATGATGAGAAACAAGTTAATTTTGGGGAAGTATACCTGAAACAGAATAAGGGTTAAGAATTTCAAAGCCTCACAGAGAAGATTCTCCATAGATTAATGCAATCTATTATCCATAGTAGGCTCTTTTCTCAAAACAGAAGAAGACCGAACCCACAAAATCCTTCAGATGAGAGAGACTGATTAAGATCACTTCCATTAAACTGCACTTTGATGCACTGTAGTTTGCTTGTCTGCATTGCTTGATTTCATTTCCAAACAATGAATAACATGAATAGGAAGCATTCTTAATAACTGTTGTAAGATGCCAGCTTGCACTCAGAGTGAGAATTTGATATCTATGAATAATAGGAAACATGCCCACTGAGGAATAAGTAAAGACTGTGAATTCTACTTAGATTCTGACATCTGCGATCTAGGCAAGTTACTAAACTACAGAGAGCCTTGGTTCCTCATATGTAAGACAAAGAAATAATTGCCCTCACACATCATGTCCAAAACATACATGAAATGTAGTTTAAGTGTGAACCATACTACTTTTAATTATTATTCGTATTTTTAACTCTCAATACCAATGAATTTAGTCAATATGCTGTTTATATTAGGTTGTGACCCAAAGGTATGAAATGTATGATGCAAAGTAACAGAATACAAATAAAAAGCACTGTGGAATGGTATCAGCGTTAGGCAATGTGTTAACTATGATAGCGTCATCCCTACCAGAAAGATAGGGTTAGAAGCATTTCTGGGTACTCTTTATATTAAATCTTTGTCATTTTGGCTTTGCTACACCAGTCCTTTATTGGATGTTTTTAAATATTCCATTGTAACAGAAAAATTCAGAACTTTGCTTTAAGTCTACCTTGAATGTTAATCCTGTACAGTTATTAGGATTGGTTAAATGGGTTCAGTTCTTCACCCAAACCCCAATGAAATTTAAATTTAATCTATCTTAGGAATCTAGAAAGGCTCTAAATTTAATTTCCATAGCCACCATTTATTATTGAAGACTATAGGAAGAGGGCTGGAAAAAAATAGGAATAAAGTATCACCCCTCCATTTTCAGACGGTTTGGTCCAGGGGATAGGTACGATTGGGATAGCTTCGGAGACAAACAAGGTAGGACTACAAATACTGGAACCACCAGCCACTGTCTGTGTGGCCCTGGGCAGGTTAGAATATTTCTCTCTGCCTCAGTTTATTGGGTGGGAAAATGGGATAATAGCATCTAACTCAGCAGATGTTTATATAGAAGCCAAGGATTCACAGTGCTAACGTAAATAAAGCCTCATGAATTGTCTTCCTCATTAAAATAAAATCAAAATGAATACTAAAATCATCAACTTTTAGCTTTACCCATAAATAAATGGAAACCAATAACAGTTTTGAAAAGCAAAAAACTTGTTAAACTTCCTAAAATCTTATGTCTGTCTTCAGTTTCTGAGAAAAAAAAACTTACTGTTTGGAAAATCATTTTTAAAGTTAAATTTCCCTTTAGCAACCTCAGGGTCACTTTTTCTCTCAAGAGCCTCCTCTTTCTAATATTTTCCAGGTGTCAGTAAACCTACCATGTTACTTTGCTTGGGCCAAAGTAACAATTAATTACCTACTTTCTACCATAAATTTTTCAGTAAACTGGAACAATAAATTCATTTAAAATGTTATATTCATGTTTACAATTAAAAAATACATCACACGTGAATGAAAAGAAGTAAATGAAGTAGGTGGGGACTTATCAGTATTGCCCTGTACTTATGGCAACATGACTCACCTACTAGAGCAGAATGAACCACGCAGTTACCTAAACCTTAAACTATGGTGAAAAACATAAATTTCACTCATCATCATTGCCATCTGAACTTGCCTCAAATGAAGAAGAAGATCTAAACATCAATTTTCCTATTATTATTTCAAAGGTCAAAAAATAATGCTTCAGAATCATTCAAAAATAAGTCTAGAAACTAAATGAAGGTCCTATTATTACAAAATATAGCCATGTATGACTGATTCCACATGGCTCAGTCTTATTCTTAAGGTATCCTGTAGATCAATAAATTGCAAGAGTTCATTTAGTAAAGTTCACTGATAAAATAAAAATTTTATTATGGTTTATATTAGGTGTTGAAGAATGTTATTTTGGAAAATAAAATAGACCTTTCAGTCTAAGGAAATATCCCATAAAATAAGGAACATTGGAAAGAAGAGATCATTTTTACCTTCCCAGACACTGTAATATTAGTGTGGTAAAATGGTATAATATTAATGTAGTTATCTATATTAACTCCATATAAATGTGTTGTTATGTGATATGTGAGTAATAGATCAAGCATCTATAATATAATTTATCATATTAATAAAATAACATGTAAGTCATTTTGAAGGAATTGAACATAACATAAATATTTTATTATAAATATTTGCTGCTGTAGAGTTTTGTCATAATACATTCAAACTAGACATCTATTCAATCAGATGAAAATAAGTTTTTTAAGATGTCTTTGTCAAAAAGTTGAAAACATTTTATAAACAAAGCTAAAGTAATACTTACTTCTGAAGATAAAAGGGAAGAAACAGGTACATAGACATTTAAAATGACCTGACAAGAAAATAACCCATCATAAAAAATTCTGGGACATGGACCTATTTCTCCTCTTAGAACAATTTAAACAACTTGAGTCTGAAATTGTCTACAACTGCTGACATTCTTTCAATAAATTATAATCTTAGTCCATTAGACTCACATAAAAATACTGAAAATATCTGTATCAGTTTCTTCATATAATTCTCTCAAGCTTTTTATGTGATTGTTTCTAATGTATCCAGTATGAGGTCTTTTTCATAAGAAACATGAGGAGGGAAATAAGTGACTGAGTTACCCTTTCTGATCAATAATATAAGCAGATTCTTTATAGATATTTAAATGAGCCTTCTGAGGCTAATGATTCCTATTGGTGGAGAAGAGATGGGGCAAATGAACAAAATCATGCAATAGAGAATGTTTTAAAAGAGTGGGAGGCTACTCTTCCCTACTATTGACACAGTAGACTAAAGGATAAAGAGTGACAGAGGCCCCTTCAAGGAGCAAAGCAGGTGTGTAGTCAGCCTTCCGAGCACTTACCAAGGTTTCCCCCAGTGCAACCACCCTTTCCTCCAAGCCATACTTGCATGTGTAAACAATAGGGAACCTTCCCCTCAGATCTCTGTCTTCCGCCCAAGGCCCCCTGAGTGCAAAGGTCAGAGGCAGGGACACATTTGCTACCTTGATGTGCTCCTGAAGCTGCGCCTGGTGCTGCCGTGTCAAGTTCTCGTGCTGCTTCTGAAACTCGGCAATCAGGAGCTGCTTCTGGATCTGCTGCTGCTGCTGGATGAGGAGTAGCTCCTGCTGCAGCTGCTTCTCCCGGACGACAGGGTCCACCACGGGCATCATCATCCTGAGGTCCGTCCGTAGGTCCAAAGGGGAGATGGGCTCCAGGCCCACAGGAACCTCCGACTTTACATCCACTGGAGAAACGGGGGGGTCAAGGAAAGGATGATAAGAGACGTGTCCTTGTCCAAATCCATGTTGAACACAGACAGAAAGGAAGACACTATACGCATGCAACAAATTTTACACCAACAAATCTAGTCTTTTTCCCCCAATGATGATAACAGGTCTTTCATATATCAATTTTGATAAAATGTACCATATGCTAATTTCCCCCCAGCAATTGGTACTCTGCCTTGAATCGTCAGCATTTACCCTTTTCAAAGAGATGATTCCAATTATTTAAAGGCATCAAAGTCGTTCATAAAACATATTCTACTGGGTCACTTACAAAGGTCAAGTTAATTTAGGACCAAAAATGCGTCTCTGCTGAGGAAAGGAAGTCATGTTTTAATAGAGAACTTCTAACACAACTAAGTCTGAATGCTTGCAAACACATTTGTTGGTAACAAGAGTCTGAAGATACATTCTAAGTTAAAGCTTTTTACATAATGTTGGGCTATTGGATCCATCAAAGAAAAACACAAATCTGCAAGCTGAAATGTGGGAAATGGTGAGCAGATTAGTTGATCAACCTTGGCAAGGAAGCCAAGACCAGCCATAAAGATATGAGGCTGCCCAGCTTCTCTGTGCTGGTTTTTATTTATTTTTTAAAATATATTTTTATTGATTTCAGAGAGGAAGGGAGATGGAGAGAGAGAGAGAGTGAGAGAGAGAGAGAGAGAGAGAGAGAGAGACAGAGAGAGAGAGAGAGAGAGAACGCACTATTGATTTGTTGTTCCACTTATTTATGCATTCATAAATACGTTGGTGTATCAGGACGACACTCTAACCAACTAACTCTTTCACACTCCACTTGGGGATCAAGCCCACAATCTGGGCATGTGCCCTGACCGGGATTTGAACTGTGACCTCCTGGTTCATAGGTCGACGCTCAACCACTGAGACACACTGGCTGGGCTCCATGCTGGTTTTTAAATGGTAATGATCTGTATAGCAATCACCTTATTCCTAAACTAAACAAGGCATAAAAAATTTTAGGATGCTTAGAACAAATATTCAATCAAGTAACAGGATGAAAAAAGATTGAATAATCTGAAAATAACTATAGCTATTTAAATTTGTAAAAATTAAGTTAGATAATGTGTATAAAATTCTTAGCATTACTTCTAAGAGATAACTTTCCAGGAGTGGGATAAGCGCAAGAGCTCACAGACCGGGTAGATATGCAGATATGTCAGCTATTCATGGCTGGCGTCCATCCTGATTAGTCAGTGTATATGCCAAACTGGTTGTTAAATATTTTGAATATGACCTTTGGCCACAGGAATCAAGAAAAGTATGTAGTTGAATAAAACAGATTTAGATAAAGATAATAGGAATTTTGGAGGGAGAATGTAGGCCAACTGAACTGCATGTCTTTGCTAAAGTGGTCAGCCACTACTGAGACCCAAGAAATTACTGGTAGAAAAAAAGAAAGACAGAAAATACATATCCAGAGTAAAGAGAAAACAATTAAAAATAACTTATCCCTAGCTGGTTTGGCTCAGTGGATAGAGCATTGGCCTGGGGACTGAAGGGTCGCAGGCTTGACTCCAATCAAGGACACATGCCTGGGTTGTGGACTTGATCCTTAGTAGGGAGCATGCAGAAGGCAGCCGATTAATGAATCTCTCTCATCATTAATGTTTCTATCTCTTTCTCTCCCTCTCCCGTCCTCTCTGAAATCAATAAAAAATATATTTAAAATAAATAAATAAATAACTTAAAATATTTTAACACTATGGGAACAAGAAAACAAAAAAGCTTCTATAAGTAAACTTTGACATGTAGGCCGCTTATTTTCAACCTCTGATCTAAAATCTAAATTCCTGTTCCCATCCTTCTAACTGTGACCATGGGCATGCTACTTAAGTTCTCTAGGCCTCAGTTTCCTCATATGTACAATGCAGATAATTATAGCAAAGAGTAACAACACAGAGCTGTTAAAAGGATTAAACTGAATAATTCACTAAAAGACAACATTGCACATCCCTCAATAAATGCTTTTGGTTTCTTTACAGAAAAATAGTAATCCCCTGTATAGTACAATAAACCATCAACACTGTGTAGTCACAAAACAAAAGTATTAGGAGCAAGTATGAAAATGAAATTGTATATGTTACATATTAGAAAATAAAAACACTAAAACTTCTAGGAAATGACAAAAGAAAATAGATAAGCAACTCAAAAATTACACCTTCACTAGAAAAGCAAGGCAACTTTTAGGTCAAAATAAGGCATCATTTTCTAATTATTAAATATCAGATATATGGTTGATGTATATGTGTGTGTTCTGTCCCATTGTAAGCATACGACAAAGTAGACAACTATAAATCACAAAAGACACTGCTAATTGGTTTAAAACTTCTGAAAAACAATTTAATATATATTAAGAGGCATTAAATATTTCTGCCATTTGACTCAGGTTTGCCAACTCTCGAAATCTATCTTAAGAAGATAATACTAACAGGAAGACGCAGTTTGATGCTGTTTACTGAAGTGCTATTGTTTTTACTGAAATCACCAACTACAAGGAAACGTCCAAGGAAAATATGTCCATTAGGTGTAAAAACATGCAATCATTAAAAATGTTTATGGGAACATGAAAAATGTTGTTACAGCATTAAATGAAGAAAACAGTAATAAAAGTGAAGTAAACCCTATGATATCTCTTTAAACTACATAAATATTAGTCAATATACATTTATGAGAACTTTAAGTTGCCAGGCATGATTGCAGATGTTGGAGTTTACTAGTTAAACAAAAAAGACAAAAATCCCAGCCCTCACAGAGCATATCACATCTACTGGGGTTTTAATTACATGACTCTCTGAATTTTAACAGCAAAGACTGGTGAAATACAGTGCAGAAGATCGTTGTAGTAGGGGTGAAAATATGAATACTTTTCCCCATTCTTCTTTTCTATCTTTTTCCAAAATGGTATCTAATGCTCTGACCACTACTGGAGGCAACTTAGATTTCCAGACTCCAGGTTGGGGACCACAAAGTTAATACTCCATGCAACTTAAGAGCTATTTTCAGAGAGTCAGGAAAGCCTAATAGAAATCCCATCTATAGCAGTTAAGCTGCAAATCGAATGAAACATTCACGTCCTTGCGTATCTTTTGAATTGTGTGTGTTCACAGGACTGTGTGTGCACATGTGAGTGGGGGTGGGAGCGAGGACAGTGTCAGTCTCAGGTTGCAAACCCTGGTTATTTTCCCCCCAATGTATTGATCAGAAGTCTTTGTGGATGGTGACACCGCTTTAATGAAAATGGTAAACAACTTATTAATATACCATGGTTTGGTAGACAATGTCTTTTAAATCATGATCTCTGTGAAAAGAAAGCTATTAAAATTGAGCCAAGTTTCAAACTAAATGAAGATCTCTAGTTGCAGAGTCCAATGTAGAACTTTCCTTTAAGGCCCTGGAGTTATGTGAGATTTGGAACATTAATTTATAGAGCTGGCACAATTCCAACCCAAAGCAAAGGCTGTTAATGATATATTTCATTTTTACATTAAAAAAGGCCAAACTGCAGCCTCCAGTTTTTCCATGAAAATGCCAATAAACAAAAATCAGAATTTAACCCTATACAGCAAATGAAAAATTTCAAGAGACTCTGCAATCTCTTCTTTCTGGGATTCTTATTACCTATGAACTGTAAACATTGAACCCCTAAAAAAATCCCCCCCCAACAAAAAAGATAAGGGAAAAATGTCCCAGAACTCTCTAAAACAGCTATTGTAAACCTCAAAGGGTAATTTGACTTCTTAACCTGCTATCCCAACAGAAATGATTGTGTCTAACTGCTTGCCTTTGTTCAGAGACTAATCACTAAATTGTGAAAAATCACCCTCAACTTACAAAAACTGCTCTTGATTATAAATAATTGCCCAAGACTGAGAGAAAGCGGCAGGCAAGATCCCAGTCTTTCATCCAATTTATTCAGCAGCAATCCACATTCCATTTGTCTAGACTAAATATAGCAGCGTTTATACAAGAAATCAATAGTGCTTGCAGAGAGGAGAGCGAAGGCATGAATATTTCATCAAACTCGGAGAGAAATGGCAATCAGCAAACTGATGGTGCTGTATAGGTCATCTTTGGCCTGCTGGATTAGTGCCTGCTCCTTGGACAATAGCTCATCTCTGGCTAATCATAATCATATCATAGCCATTCTTTCTATTTTTAACATTAATTGCACTGTGGGTGACAAAGACTCATCGTATTCCAAAAGGAATGATGGATTTTTCTTATGTCTTCTGTGACAGGCTAATAGGCCTCCCCAGGAGCAATAATAGTAACACAATACCAGGACCGAGTTTTAACACATTACAGTTCCTTTCATATCTCAGAATGTGAAAGAAAGGGCACTGTCCACAGCTGCTGTATTATCATAATTAGAAATAATCAACTTACCAGGAAAAATTAACAACCGATTTTAACAGTGAAGAAATGGAATCATCCCTGTTCACACATTTCTTGCCTAGGAACATGCAAATTCCTTACAAATTACTTTGAACAGGTGGCCAGTGATACATAAATTAGAAAGAAGTTGATGACAACAAATATTAGTGTTAGCATTACTTAGAAATGAATCATGTTTTCTTAACAGATCACAAGACCTAGTAACTTCATTTGTACTTACCCAGTTTGTCCCACATTTCAGATACACGCCAACATGTTATAGTATATGTAATTATCCTAAATCCAAATCTCCATTCAGAACATTTCCATATTAGATATTAATAGTTTTAAATAATACTTTATAAAGTCCTGTTCATTCCTTCTTCAGTGTCCTTTAGATTGTTCTTTGATAGTTTTTGGCTTAGCAATTATCAACTAATGCAATTTTCTTGAAAAGTTTTTAGTTCTTAATAATCAGGGAAACAAAAGGCTTCCATTTCAAAATAAAAATCTCAGACCATACAGATGTTTATAATAATTACATTTATTTAAGCAACATGCA